TCCTTCATTCCTTGTCCCCAAGGTCAGAAGTTGTGAGTATGAACCCCTCCCCAAGGTACACAGGCCCTGCCCTAGCACCTTTCTCATTCTTAAACCCAGCCTAGGTCCTCTGCTCTCAACTGCCTTTTACACTCTTCCAAAAAGATCATTTGCTTCTTTGACCTACCAAGGGCCATCTAACAACTGCTCACATAGCCATCAAGGAAACTTAAACCAAAATATTTGCCCAGACTGCTTTGAAAAGCTTAAAGCACCAAATTTTAAAATCATCAGAAATGTACTAATTGATTTCATGGACTAGAGACTTTATATATGTAACTTTGAGAAAAAATTTGCTCTGCTTGCCAAAGTTGACCATTATAATTATGTTTTCCCCTAAAGGTTAACAACAGGGCAGTCCCCTACCCCACCATCTTAAAAGTAAAAATATTTTTTTTTTATCATTGTCCACAATTATTTAATACCTATTGCTTATAATTTCACATTTGGGCTCAATATTGAAGGATGAAACTGGGTATCTTTAAAAAAACAAGAAAAATGGGAAAAAAGATGAGGAGCAAAGCATTAGAAAGAATAACAAGTAGCATTTCTTTATCACCTAACCATCTTTTCCTTTACATAAAAGCTGTTGAGTGCTTATCATGTGCAGACATGAAAATATGTTTGGCAAGTAGCCCACGGAGTAGAGAACCAGAGGGCGTATCTAAACTCAAGGACAAAGGATTAACCACCAACTACACTGAGCAGCATATGGAAAGTAGAGGTTGACATTCAGCCCAAACACGACCAGGGACCCTGGAAGAGGAAGGGCATTGAGGGATGGGCAGTGAGTGAAGGCTCATGTCTCAACAAAAGCTCAGTTGCATAAGAGAAGAAGAAGAAGGAAGCTGAGACAGAAGAAACAGTGTTGTCACTGAACAGCAAAGTAAGAATGAAGCCAAATATCCAGTTCTTTTCTTCAGGAAGACACTCTTTGAACTACACCCAACCTTCCTGCTAAGATTCTTATGAGTGGCTTCCTTGTTTCCTTGTATCCTCTTTTCACAAGACCTTATCTGCAGATTTCCCAGATCCCAGAGGCTCGCTGATATTATCAGGGCTTCAAATTTAAAGGCAGGCCCAGCAACAGGCTCTCAAAACATATTTGTCACCTAAGCCTGTTTGTAGTTTTTAGGGCATAGTTGTATTATTCCAGATGTTTAGTAATTCAGTAATCCAGTTAGCCATGCCTGTGACAAACCAGGACTTGCTTTGTACCAGCCACTGGAATGCGGCCTGCATGCTTTCTTTTCTGATAGCTAAATGTTCATCACCCAGCACACCCACTTGGTTCTTTTAGTCTTTCACAAACCAAAGGGAACTGCCTTGGTTAGCCAGACTTATAATGTGACAAATAATGTCTAAAGCATTGTTGATTCTCAGATTTGTGGTAATTAAAGCCCATAGTGTGTCATTTCAACTTTATAACAACATTGTACAGTAGTGCTATGTATATGTGCCTTGATGGTGTCAAATTTGTCCTTTAAATTTCCAAATCTCAGAGTTTTATTTATACACTGACAAAAAGTTGGTTTGTTTGAATTTGGGAATTTGTTTTTGGTTTTGGTTTGTTTTGGAGGGGTTGTGATTATTGTTTACAAAGCTTCTGGCATTAGGGTGCTCATCTGAAAAAGCAAACACCTAATCATGCTTCCTCACTCCTCAGAGGTGTCATGAGGATTAATGTAATGCAAGTATAAGTGCTTTCATAAGTATCATTATTTAAAAATCCTTTGCAGTTGTTAACATGTGGCTTGCTCAAACAGTAGAATCCCATAAGCCCCACAGAGCATAAGCCACAATCCCCTGAACCCTATGGGTCCATGACCCACACACTGTAGCATAATAGAGCAAGACCGTAAGAACCAGAGAGAAACTACCAGATGCTAACATGAGTCCAGAATCCCATGCTAAGTGAAGTCATACTTTTTCCTGTTTAGTGTCTGTGACTCTATGTGGTTTTCCCTCCAGTCAGGGATCTCAGCATGTGGACACCAGGGGTTTTGTGAAGTTGCACCAAAGCCTCTCCCCAGGGAACACTCTGTTCACCTTGAGCACGATAAGCCCTGCCACAGAAGGGCCTGGGATTCCTCTCACTCCCACCTGCAAAATGTGTAAACCACATCATGGCCACTGTTTTCAGGTCCTGCTTGTTATTTTTAAAATGAAGAGAAAATTCTCTTCTCTTCAGCGGTGTTTACTTTTAACTTAATCTTGGACTAAGCCTATAATGTGTCTGTGACCTTTATGATTGCATAAACAATACAATAATCTCTGCATGTACAGATTTTTCAAAATCTTAAAATATCAATTTTTAAATGACTGCTAATTTAGTTCACGTGGGTTTTTTTTATTAATATGGCATTGGAATCATACTCATCATGTGTCATTTCTGTACAAAAACTTATAAATTCTAAGTCAAAGAAGAAAAATAGTAAACAGGTATACTTGTACTAATCATCTCTTTATTCAATTCAGAGACTAACAGGCTCACGGTAGATTATAGAAAAGGGAGCTAGTTCCCCCAATCACATGAGTTCTTTCAACATCTTAGGAATCCATCCTAAAGCAAAAATAAGATGTCCGTGCAAAAGAGGGTTATCATCCCTGAAATTCTCTAAGAAAGCTGCTTTTTGTTCCCTTGGCTGCCATCTAGTGGTCAATGATACAGTGTCACTAAAACACTCCATCTTGTGAAGACAGACTCTAAAGTAAAAAATGCAGTTAAAGAAATATTACTGCAGAAATGAGGCTTTTCTAATAATTCCTGGTTAGATCCAAAAGTGTCATTCTCTTTTCTGTTTCTTGGTCTACATTCTTTTGCATGAAAAGACAACTGATTCAATTATCAAACATAGATTTAGTATTCATACTATGTACTAGTACTAGGACTATCAGGATGAATTAGATAAGGTCCCCTGCCTTCCAAGGAGGAGAGACATGAAATCAAATAATGAGATATGTGATGAGGGCTTAAAAGAAGAATTGATGAGTCATCAGGGACATCGAGAAGAAAGAAAATCTATATTACTGGTCAGAAGAGTTTGAGTTGGAGCTTGAGTGATGAGTGGGAGTTCTCCAGACAAACAAGAGGGGAAAAACATAAATGAGAGTTGGGATGCTGTCCTTTGGACAACAGTGAGAATTTATGTCAGGAAGACAGGCAGGAGATAGATCAGGAAGGGCCTTTTGAGACTGCATCAAGTAACTAGAGTGGTCTCCCCTTATCCATGGTGTCACTTTCCTCAATCTCAACTACCTTCAATCAACCACAATCTAAAATATTAAGTGGAAAATTCCAGAAATAAACAACTTATAAGTTTTAAACTATGTGCTGTTCTAAATGTGGTTTTCTTAAATGTACTTGATCCATTCAAAAATATTGCTCATACCTCCACAATTCTATATCAAAGAAATACCTTGTGGCTTCATTGAGGTTGGCAGGGTTGCAGTGTGGGAAAGTGACATGCACCAGCCAGTGCCTTCACCCAGCTTTAGAGAAAGCCCTAAAACAGACCCAACCACAGACTGGGGACTAAAAGACAAAGTTGAGAGGCTCTCAAGACCAAGAATCCCAGCTAACTTGAGCCTAGACCAATGATAAACTGTTCAGTATCTGCCTCTTGAGAGATTTGTGTGCAGTGGTTAAAACCAATATTAACTGTGCTGTTTTAGATTTATCTTTGCTAGGTTTCTCTTTATGAGCATTTTAAATGAGGTCTCTAATGCCTGGTGACCATTAAATAACAGTCACGTCAGCACTACTGTAGCATCTCTATCTTTTCAAGTTAAGACTGGATTCTAGATCTGAAATACTTCTGTTTCAGATCCTCAAAAAGTGAAAGCTTAAGGGATGCAAAGAAATATATCTGAAATATAATGAGCAAAAAGCATGCACATGAACTTCTGCCTTTTTTTTCTCTCTCTAGACTTTGCAGGTTAGACACATAGCTGTGTTGATAGGCAAATCTTTCCCAAGGGTCCCTCAATCAAAGCCCAGTTATCTATATTTGATTGCAGATAAATGAAAAGTCACCATTGATTATATTCGACATCAAAAGCTAATAAGAAAAATCTAGCAGACATACATCCTTCCTTCTTCTACATCACAACGGACATTGAGGAGAAGGGACAATGGCTCTCACCTATGGCATTAAATGGTAGTGGTTATAAACATGGGTCATGGTACCAGATTGCATGAATTTAAATCCTAGCTCTGCTGTTTATGATCATAGACCTCAGGCAATTTACCAGACCTCGCTGTGCCTCAATTTCCTGAACCATAAAATTCAGTTACCTCTTCATTAGGATCATTGAGAGGATAAAATGAGTTAATACAAAGAATGTGCTTAGAAGGAATGTGGATAGGGCTCAATAATTGTAAGTTAGTATTAATGTATCCAGAAGTCTCCAAATATTTTGCAAAGAAATGCCAGTTATTCCATTGCTTAAATTGTCGAAAGCTCTGAAGTTGGAGGATGTCAAAAGTGAGGTCCCAAAGTTTAAGAAGTGAGACCACTACCAAGCAATGCTGTCACTCTATGCAAACTCAGCTAAACTCTAACATGCTCATGTCTAAACAATTAGAAAGGTTAATTATACCTATCATAGTTCATTTTAACCTGGCAACAAAGCTGACACCTAAGAGATGCATTTTACATGGAATTTCAATGCCTTTTAAAGCAGGAGAGGAGAGCCCTTAAGAGCCTATGAAACCATATGCCTCCGGTGGAGGTTTATTCTGCCTGCTAAACAAACTCAACAAGTCACTTTGTCAGAGTTAAATTTTACTAAAACGTAGGCCCCTCCCTCTACCCAGGTGTTCTCTGATTCCAATTTTCATCTCTGAAAGTTTAGGTCTCAGCCTAAGCCTAAAAATCTGACACCTCCCCCAAAAATAAGATGGGGGAGAGACAGAAGAAACCTC